AACTTCTCCACTGGGCAGTCATTTATCAGAGTTTGTGACTGGATTTTGACAAGATATTTTATTCAGATAGAGACCCTAAATCAGTACCCTATAGTGAAGCGGTATCCCTGACTGGGATTTCCTAAGGATCCCGTTTTAGTAGAGCAAGTACCCATCCTGGTATCTGAAGCCCCTAAACTTTATGATGAATGGATGCTTAGAACACACACATTTCAGTGGGATGTCAAATTGTATCCAGGTACCTAGAGAGTGTATTGGCACATGGGTGAACAGGAAATAGGCCTGAAGATCAGGAGAGTTTCTCTGAGGCCCCAAATCTGGAAAAAACAGCTCCTTTTTATTATACACAATCAGGTAAGGCCATGTAATGCTCACTGAAACCAGTACAACTAGGTCACCCTTGAAAATCAGAGAAATTACTTTGTTAGGAGGCTGATTGAGCAAAAAGCTTGAAGCCACAGATGTGAGGAATTGATTTTCCGAAAGGCAGATCCCCCATAAACAAAGGATGTTTAAGCCCACCTTCTAAGAAAGGATTTGGCCGTTGGAAGGTAAGTTTAAAAACAGCCCCGGGATCTGAAAACTAAAGCACATCATTTGCTCTTGGATTTTAAGGTACTCTGTTATTTCTCTTTGCTGATTTATCCATTCCACAGGCTTACACAGCCTGACTCGCCCAAATGCAATGCTGATATAAAATCCCTGCGGCCTATAGAAGGGAGTTTAAAACTGCAAACAAGCAAACAAATGTGGGCTGAATGTCCACTACATGCCAGGTGCTACTTTTCTGAATCCCTTACTACAAGCAATGGGGTAACAGGCATTGTCTTATTCAATCCTGACAATGATCCTGGGAGGCAAAAGAGTTTTATCACCCTTTTAGAGATGATGTAATGACGTTCAGGGAGGCTAAATAATTTGTTCAAGGTCATGCCTAGTAAAGACTAAAGCAGAGACTTAAAATCCTGGTCTCTCTGCCTCTAAAGCCCAAGCTCTTAGCCATTCTGTCAGTGTTTCTTTTTCGTATATTATATTTATTATATTAAATTATATTTCTTTTACTTCCATCTTCTTTCCTTGGTAGTTGCCAGTGATTCTTATCAAACCCTTTAGAGCACCAACCAGAAAATCTGCAGGTTGGAGAAGAGGATTCAAGAAAGTGCAGATTCCTAGGCTTCATCTGTGTTCTCCAGAAGCAGAGTATCCAGGGGCTGGGACCCAGGAATCTGCATTTTAAATAAGGCCTCCCAGTAATTCTTCTATTTGCTGAGGCTTGAGAACCATTAATCTTGCTACAGTGCCTCCACTTCTGAGAAGTTCTTGATGAAGAGCAAGTCTTGAAGAGATAAAAAGTCTCCCAACAGTCTCTGCGCAATAGTTAGGGTCAACTCAAAGGGCTGGGACCTCTGGTTCTGGGAGTAACAACTGGGGAATTTCACACCAAAGGACAGTTTGTCAATTGATGAAGGCCCCAATGGAAACTCTACTTTCACAGAGGAAGCCAAAGTCCAGCCAGGAGAGGAGCAATGTGAGTATGGAGAGGATGGTAAAAATTCAGCAGATAGCACTGATATCCAAGGTGTCAGATTTGAGAGGAATTAGGGTTCGTACAGCCCAATGTCTCTCATTTATTTTAGAGACCCAGAGAGACTATGAGACATGCTGAAGGCCACACAGCTGGATGATGGCAAAAATGGGGTAGAAGTCTCTGGCTTCTATTCTTACTTGTTGCACCCTCACTATATCCCCAATATATCCAGTGACCACTAACGTGTAGAAAATAATCTGGCTATATTTTAAGCTAATCCACTACTCCAGAGTTGGGGAAAACAGTTCAACATCCATATTTTAATTATGGCAAACACGTAACTACTCACATACAATGTAGAAATGCCAATTTGTTCTATCCAGGAAATAGTAATATTTTTTTTTTCCCTTGAGGTCAAAAGGCCGTTCTGAGGATTGTGAGGAACAGCCCAGGTCTACGGTCAACACTTTTCTATCTAGGAGCAATAGGCTTGCCTGCTCCGGCCTTACACAAAAATGCTACAACATCTATGTTTCCATTTTCAAGGCAGGGGGTGACACCATCAGTTCTCAGAATCTGAAAGAAAGGGACTGGGGACAGTGACTCATGCCTGTAATCCCAGCACTTTGGGAGGCCGAGGTGGGAGGATCACTTGAGCCCAGGAGTTTGAGGTTATAGTGAGCTATGATCGTACCACTGCACTCCAGCCTGGGCAACAGAGTGAGATCCTGCCTCAAAAAAGCAAGCAAGCAAGCAAGCAAGCAAGCAAGCAAGCAAGCAAGCCTGGGCACAGTGACTCACGCCTGTAATCCCAGCACTTTGGGAGGCTGAGGTGAGTGGATCACATGGTCAGGAGTTCGAGACCAGTCTGGCCAACGTGGTGAAACCCCGTGTCTACCCAAAATACAAAAATTAGCCGGGTGTGGTGGCAGGTGCCTGTAATCCCAACTACTCAGGAGGCTGAGGCAGGAGAATTGCTTGAATCCGGGAGGTGGAGGTTGCAGTGAGCCGAGACCACACCATTGCACTCCCGTCTGAGCAACAGAGCAAGACTCTGTCTCAATAAATAAATAAATAAATAAATAAATAAATAAATCTGAAACGAAGATGGCTTTCGGGGGGTGGTCACATATTTGATGTCCCTTCCAGAGGCAGTACTCTTAACAGCAGCTGCTAAATACCTTGAAATAAATAAATAAGCCACCTCAGTGTTCTCCAGATTTCAGCCATGTGCTACCTCTTCAACATTTACCATAGCTGTTAATAACCACTAACATAGGTAACATTCACTGAACAGTGATCAGGTACTAATGCAGACATGATCTGTGCCCATTTTACAGATGTGAAAATTGAGGGTTATAAGACCTAAGTGATCTAGCAAATGTCTTCTCAAGCAGCAGAATCAGAAGACCAGGGGACAACATAAATGAACTCAGACTTGGATTATTTCTGGATAAGTGTCATTCTCAAGGGTTTTTGAGCCCAGAAAGAGTGTTCGTGTACAATCAGCATGCGAAAAGTTTGCTGAAAAGTGGATACGTTCCCAGTGGCTACATTCATAGCCAAATAGTGTGCCCTTATTTGGTACCTGCTGTAAGTTAAGGCAGGTTACTGTAGCTGATTCCTGAAGGAGGAAATCTCCCAGTCAGAGATGGGAGATGGGCTCTGGAAGGCTGTGGTTAGCGAGAAGATGTGATGATAGAAGAAGCGTCAGAGAGATGTAACATTGCTGGTTTTGAATATGGAGAAAGCTCCATAACACGGGAGCCAAGGAATATAGGTGGTCTTTAAGAAGCTAGAAAAGGCAAATAAACAAATTCAACTCCGGAGCCTCCAGGAAGAAACACGGTCTTGCCAACACTTTGATTTTAGTCCAGTGAAACTCAAGGCAGACTTCTGATCTACAGAATTGTGAGACGATAAATCTGTGTTGTTTTAAGTCACTGTTAGTGACTTAAATAGGCAACTAACAGCCGTAATGAATAAGATGAGTTAAGATTGGCTATGAGGTAGTAGATGCAGTTCTAGACACAAGAGCAGAGAAGACAAGTTTAAGGGAGGTGACGATGGAGAGTGTACAAAGAGAACTTTAAAGTAGAACTTTCTGCAGTGATGGGAATGTTCTACATCTGTGCTGCCTGATGTGGTAGCCACTAGCCACATGTGGCTACTGAGCACTTGACATGTAGATAGGACAACTGAGGAACTGACTTTTAAATTGTAATTTATTTAAAATTCAACTTAAATAGCCACATACGGAGAGTGGCAAGGGTATCTGACAGCACAGGCATAGAGAGCATTAAGTCGGAGAGATTAAGACCCAACTTTCAATGGACCAGGCCCAGTACTTAGAACTTCTGCACACTCTTAGGTCATTTAATCCTCTCAGTGACCCTATGAGGTTGGCATGGTTAAGGTGATCACCACTTACCGGATAAGAGAATTAAGGAACAAAGAGTTCAAATAAATTATCCGGAATCCCAGACTAGTAAGTGGTGAAGCCAGGATTCAGTGTTGAGGATTCCAGAGCCAGCATTCTGATCCATGGCACCCTACCAGCTCTATGCCATTCTGTACAATGCCTCCCAGTCATTATGCTATGCCACCAAAAGGAATTAGAAATGTGACGAAGACCATAAGCAGATAAGTAGAGGCTTCTATAAGGCATAACAAGAAAGGCCAGGGAAGGCTTCCCTTGGGAATGACATTTACTTTGAGTGTGGAAGGCTGAGTAGGGATTGGCAGGCAAGAGGAGGGAGACGGGTAGAGGAAGTCCCAGGCAGAGAAAACATGTATGAAGGCTCAATGATAAGAAAGAACATGGTGTATTCAGGGTGATGAAAGACAAACAGAATGACTGGAGTGGAGAGATGAAGGAAGTACCAAGGGTTAAGTTTGAAGAAATTGGCAGAGGCCTGGGCACATAGGTTCTGGTAGAATTTGAAATGTCATTCCAAGGATTTGAATGCTATTCTAAGAATTTTCATAGGCAAACATATCATACATTATACAAATATGTAAACATATATATTTTCACCCTTACTTTTGTATAAATAATAGAACGGATGTGACCAAGTATTGATTAGGAAAAGATGGTTCACCTCATCAATAATCATCATTCTCAAGTTATTGGTTTGGAATCCCTCAGGAATAGCAGTGGCATTTTATACACATCAATGACTTTGTGTTTTAGAAGTGCTTCCCTCTACCTTGGATTTTCACAAGCATCCTGGGACAAATGTAGAGATTTTTAAATCTCCGTTTTACAGATGAGTGAATGGATTCTCAGAGGAAGAATGAGACTTGCCCAATGTCCCAGCTGGTTAGTGGCAGAACCAAGTCTAGAGTCTGTGTTGTCTGAGTTTCTTCAAAGATCCAGTCCAGAAAAGGTAGACTCACAGGCCCTCAGATCTGGCCAGAGTCCCTGCTCAGCCTCTCCTCTCTGCAGAATGGAAGTAAAGGTGGATCTTACCTTTCGGATGCCATCATGTTTCATTTCAATCACGTGGAGTGTGTAGTTGGTCCGGCGTCCTTTCTCATTAAACTGCACATTTCCTGTCAAACCTTCAAATCGCACCTGAAAAACAAAACCAAGTGGTGGGCAGTGAATGCAGATGTACTGTATATGTGTTTGCATTTTCCACTGAAGTAGAAATTCAGAACCCAAGAATGTTCCATGGAATGGTGTCTTGGAGTATCCTGAATGCTAAAACTCTTCACTCCCTTGCCACAGGCAAGGGATGCATTAGAGACCTCTTTTCCCTAAATTGGGATTCATCCTGACAATTGTTTTTACCTATTTCTTTAGGCAAATACTAACAATGGGTCAGAGTGCATACTAATGTGAAATGTCTGCACCACCCCTAACCAAACACCTCCCATCACACGACCACTATGACCACTGCCCTTCTCAGGTACACATCTGAAGATGAAGAACGTGTAGGGGACCTGCAAAGGAAAGAAAATGGTGCACCATCTGCAGTGAGTCAGAAGACCCAGGACAAGAAGCCAGCTTTATGAATGAAGCCTTAAGCTATGCTTGGGGATGACTTCTTAATTCTTTTAAGAATTTCTTCTTTATTCCTGAGTCCAGGGAGTAAAATACTTGGTAACTGAAAGACTTGGATTTAACCCTAGCTTACTCCTTAATAGCCAAGTGCCCTCAGGCAATTTAGCTGTCTAAGCCTTCAGTTTCCAAAAATCTCTGCCCTGTTTTTTTAAATCTTAAGTGATAACTGCTAATGTGAAAGTGGTGTGAAAACTTCAAAGCACCTGGGGAGAACCCATTGTGTTCAGACAAGAGAATGTAAGGTGTTAAAGAAATCTCAGTTGGCTAAAATAAAATTGTATTGGAACCCTCAAATATGCTGCATGAGACTTCTCTGCAAATGGGCTAAATCAAACTTTCATGGCCTTCTGTCTTCAAATTCATGTCAAAAGTCAAATGGTCACCATGGAGATCCAAGATCTTTCGGGCTGAGTTTGCTGCTCTGTAGGTGACTGATAAATGTCATCCAAGACCACTCTCAAACTGAGCCTGAGTCTAGCTGTGTATCATCAGTTCAGGTACAAGTAACCACATTCCCTAATAGTGATCCACCATGTGTCCTCAGATCCCTCTTGCCTAAGGCCAGTGAGGTGAGTGTCTACCTGTTACAAATACAAATCCAACCCCGTGACCCAACACTGTTTATTTTCCCCCCTTCAAATGGCTTAAAAGGAAGCTTTGCAGAGTTTTATATATTTTTTTTCTGACAGTGGCTAGCTCCTCTGTTGTTAGAAGGTATAAGAAGAGCTGGGGGTTGTGTGTGTTTGAGAGTGAGAGACAGAGAATGCATGTGTGTGTGCAGGTACGTGTGTTCCTGTTTGGAGGCTGACCCTCTTGTCACCTTCTGGTTTGAAGTCTCAGTGAGGAGGTCACAACAGGCCCAGAGCACTGAGCAAATTTTACAACACGCTCTTTGCTTTCTTGGATGAAATCTGGAGAAATCCCCAGCTCTGTAAATGTCTGGGCTATCTTTATTTTTCAGAGAGAAAACAAAGTACAGATTCTACTACAAAGAATAAAAGAAAGGAGCAATTCCAGTCCATCAGCAACTTCACCTTCTTATCACCTCGGTAATCTCTTGTCAATCTTTAGTGTTCCCTTATTTCCAGTTCAAGATAGTGTTAGTTTGGTGGATACCATGTAAGTGACTCATTCCAAAAAAACAGACTTGGATAGATGAGCAGATGGTAGACTGGTAGACTGATTTGCCCAAACTGAAAGTGTAATTAATAATCCAAATAGGCATCTACTTTTCAGCCCAGTCTCAAGTTTCATACTAATAATCAGCATGGCATATTAGTATGGCAGAGTACATAATCTCTCTATGACTAAGTTTCTCATTTGTTTAACGGAACCAATTAGAGTTAATTATGTCTTAAGGTTGTTCTAAGGATTAAATTAGATATTTTTTGATCAATGTTTGGTGCATGGTGAGTATTCAAAAAATGCCAGCTGTTATTATCATTGTTGCTAATGGTGATACTTAATACTAACATTACTTTCTAAAACCTTCATGTTTATGACACACTTGCACACATATTATTTTAGCTCTAGTCACAGGAACCCCCTGAACTATGCCATTTAGAAATTAGGATCTTTATTTACATGGGAGACGCCAAACTCTGTGAGGTAAAGTGATCTGCTGAAGTCTTACGACTAACCAGTGGCAGAGGAAGGTCTAAAATCTGGAGCTTGTGATAACTTCTGGTATCTTTACTTAAGGTACCAAGTGTTCTCTCAAACACAGGCCAGTGCTATTGTGCTAGGCTTCAGGAGGACAACACAAAAATATGCAATGTAGTGTTTTCTACCTGCTTTCTGCTATTGCTGCTGGGCATTTCCCAGGTCATGCTCTGCTCATTCTAACTGTATGACCATGGATTCCTTGCTCAAACTATCTGTTTCTTGGTTTCCTCCTCCAAGAAGTACTTAGCATATTGTCTGGGACATAAGTATTCAATGCATAGTTCATATTATTTAGACGATGATAATGACGATTACTACTACTGTGCTGTGTATAGTGGTTAAGAGTTACGAAACATAAAATACAAAATTGAGGTCTTGGGGCTGGTAGGTTGTCTCAGACCAGGGGACTCTTTCAGAAGAAAGAAGGATCATGTCATTGACACTTTTACTGCCTTCCTCAGTTTCCAATAAGATCAAGGGTCCTACCTGCACATTTCTAGTGACCCAAGGACCCCTTGCACTGTCACGGTGATCTCACAAGAAGCTGCTTATTTCATGTTCACAGAAACCCAGTGACTAGCCAGAGCAGAGGTTATTTTGCCTGTTTGAGACTCGGAGCTGATGGTGCTTGACTCCAGGATTCACAGTAAGTAATTGAGAGGTCAAGGGTAACTGAAGGCTCTTAGTGTCTAGTTGAGGAAGCCAAGTCTTACATGCACTGAGATAAAAAAAAGTATCAGAGAATGGGAAAGAGACATCCCAGAAACACCATTCCATGATGGCAGAGCAAGGAGAGTTCAAGAGGATGGCTCAGCCCCAACCCATTTATTGAGGAGAGTCAGGACTCAGAGTCAGAGGAAGAAGCTTCTCAGAAATGTGTATCTTGAAACTGCTGTCCCCATCCATCAGGTCTGAGCTCTGGGATCTGGGCGCTTATCCCTTTCTCCTCCCGTCCCAGGGTGACTGAGGTCAGATTGATGGAGCCCAGGCACTTTTTCTTGGTTCCTGCTCCCGGAACTCCTGTCGCCATCCTGGCGCCCTCAACTCCCTCCATAAAGGATGGAGAATTAACCTTGGGCTTCCTGTAAAGGGTACTGGGTGCCAGCTCAGAGTCTGCTGCTGCTAGGGGGCTGAAGCATACATTTCCTTTCCTGCTTGGTGCTGAGAGAATGCGGGTTAATGTCTCTATTACTTCAGCTGTGTTAAAGAAAGAATTAATCAGCACACTTATTAAAGCACAGTAAAGAAGACTTTATTCAGAATCATAGCAATAGGTATAAAGACCCCTGCAATGGGGTCTTGCAGTGGGGGAGAGAGATTGGGCTCAACTCCAAATACAGCGTGGGCCAGTGAGAATGTACAACCAAGGAGCAGGGTGGGGGTCAGTGAATAGTGAATTACTAACAGCAAGCATCAGGGTTAAGAGGAATTCTGGCAAAAATGGCCTAAGAGGATTCTTGCTGAAGATGGACCAGGATAATCTGACATCATCTGGGGGATGGTGGAGGCTGAAGAAGATGATCATGGCAAAGAGGGTGGACATGGTGGACAGGGTTCTTGCTAAACTGACTTAGCAAGTTCTTTGCCAAAACTGGATTTTACAAGAATTGCACAAATGGGCCTAGGAGAAAATTTAGAAGCCTGACTAATGTTTGGTCAAGCAAAGAATTTTTTTCAGATGTCAACCGTGACTCCTCTCCCCGGCCCTCATTGGATCCTGAAAGGTGGTCCTGAAGGAGATAGCCAAGCAGTCACACTGGATGCAGGGCTCCTGTATCCCCTTTGCAGGTGGATCCTTCCTCCTGGATGCTCACTGGTTGTGAGGCCTGTAGGCTAGGTCCTTGCTGGGACACATGCTAGCTATTCTGGCCAGAACAAATCTCAGAACCCTTCTAAGCTTCACTTTCCTGCCTGAGTCATGGGAAGAATAATCTCGGCTCTGACTGTCTCATGTAGCTTCCTTGAAGGTCAAAGAAACACATGCATGGTGCCTTTTTTTTTTTTTTTTTTTTTTGTAGTCTCACACTGTTGCCCAGGCTGGTGTGGAGTGCAGTGGCATGACCTCGGCTCACTGCAACCTCCACCTCACAGGTTCAAGCAATTCTCCTGCCTTAGCCTCCCAAGTGATTACAAGTGCCTGCTACCATGCCCAGCTAATTTTTTGTATTTTTAGTAGAGACAAGGTTTCACTATGTTGGCCAGGCTGGCCAGGCTAATTCCTGACCTCGTGATCCATCCTCCTCAGCCTCCCAAAGTGCTGGGATTACAGGCGTGAACCACCATGCCCGGCCCACAAGCATGATGCTTTCTTAAAATTCTGAGCCCTGTGACAAGCCAGTCAGGGAGACAGCACTAGGAGGATTATGTCTGTTTAGCAGATGGGAAAATCCAGATCTGGAAAAGGCAAGGAATTAGTACAAGATCCCCCAGATGGTGCTGGGTGGAGCCATGGTTGGAACCCAGCTCTTCTATTCCTAATTCTCTAACAGGCCAGTGTGACACCTGCAAGTCCTTGCTTGTACCCTCACTCTACCTCGTCTCTTGCTGGGTATCATTGACATCCCCATCCAGAATCTCTAAAACCCGATTTACTCCATGTTCAAATGTATCCTACCTTTAAGGGTTCCATTACCATCCATCTCAGTTTGCCTGAGCATGATGATATAGTTTGGATATTTTTCTCCTCCAAGTCTCATGTTAAAACATGACCCTGAAGGTTGGAGGTGGTGCCTGGTGGGAGGTGTTTGTATCATGGGGGCGGAACTATCATGAATGACTTGGTGCCCTCCCCATGGTAATAAATAAGTTCTTACTGAGTTCTCATGAAAGCTGGTTGTTTAAAAGAACCTGGCACCTCCTCCCTTATCTCTCTTGCTCCCTCTCTTACCATGTAACATACTCTCTCTTCCTTTACCCTCTGCCATGATTGGAAGCTTCCTGAGGCCCTCATCAAAAACAGATGTGGGCAGTATACTTCGTATACAGCCTACAAAACTGTTAGCTAAAATGAAACCTTGTTCTTTATACATTATTCAGTTTTGGGTATTTCTTTATAACAATGCACATCAACTAATGCAGGACAGTTCTGGTCCTCTTGTTCTAGAATAATAATTGTAGTTTTTCCCTTCGCCCTAAGTGTTCCCGTTTGGATGATAGATTTTGGATAATAAAGTGGTCACCCTATTGAAAGGCCAGTCACATTCCTACAGAAAGCCTTGCTGATGTCTGCATTCCTCAGTGATGGCATTCTGCTCTGACCATCCACAGCACCATGAACCCACCTAGGTTAGCCCTTAAAGGCAGGACTGTGTCTTAAACTCCCTTTGCCCACCCAACCCCAGACCCCATCTAGCAAATTCCGAGCATATCTTCACTTCCATATGCTTGATTGTTGACTGGCAGGTTGCAAAAACAAAGACTAAGAGGGATGATTACTATTTAGGGGAGGTATTCTAAATTCGAGGCCCTGGGATGGGTTCTAGGAGGATCTATGTTCTCTCTACTCCTGGTCATGCAGAAATTATGTATGTACATGTATGCATTTTTCTAAGAAAAAGAGTCTACAGATTTCTTTTCAAAAATCATATTTTCAAATGCCTATTACCTCCCCAATGTTAAGAACCCAACTTGGGGAGTTGAGTCTTCTCCGCCATCCAGAAGGCGACATATGGGCATCCTAATGTTGCCTCCTTCCTGGAGCGCCGAGGGCCTCCAGGATGTGGGTTCATTAATATTCTGAATGGCTCCCTAGATGGCAGGCAGGGGGAAGGCAGGCAGCTGATTATCTTCATTCTGCTGCTAGGGAAATTACAGCGGGGTGAGCGGGGAGGGGGTGCAAAAATATTACCCAAGGCCATGTGCTGCTTGGGGCTGGGCCATAGATCTTGTGTCTTCCCTGTTTGGCTGTGCCCTTGAGGCTTCAGAGCAGTGAAGCATACAGAGGGAGTCATCATCTAATGTGAATTAGAGTCTCAGCTTTGTCACTGTATGTGTATAGCTTTGGGAAGTTTTATAACCTGTCTGAAACTCAGTTTCCCCATTTACAAAGCACAGTTAATAAAACTACCTACCTCAGGGTGTTATATCAAAGATCCAATGATATAATGTGTGTAAATGTTTAGAGCCTTGTATATACTAAACCTTTAACACACCATACATATTATTATCCTTTTTTTCAGAATTTAATTTCCTAACATGCTTGCGCTCCAGGTAGGCTGTGCTGGACCTCTTGGCCTAACTTATAGACACCCCAGCTCTAACACAAGCTAACCCACAAGCTCTCTCCCATTCTGTGACCCGAAGGCCAGAGGTGAAGGCAGTAGACACCTGAGCCTCCAAACCTCAGGTTCCAAAGACTGGATACTACCAGGATCTACCCAGTTCCCTGGTGGCATGGCTATTTCAAGAGATGTTTGTAGAAAAAGCCATTGCTGAACGGTAGCCATGACTATGTATGGAAGGCTCCAGAGGTCATTGCTTATAAGCAAGGGCCCCTGGGCCCATACACAGACCTAACCGGGGGAAGAGGAGCCCTGGACTGGGATCTGTTCCAGCCTCTGCCAGTAAGCTGCTGTGTGATCCTGGGTGAGTCACTGCCAACTCTGGGTCTGCTGCTTCATTATAAAGTGAGGGAAAAGGAGAGTCAGTAATCTCTAAGGTGTCTTTCAACAAAAGACTTTTTTCATTCTAGGTGCTTAACAAAGATTGGAAAAGGAAACTATTTGAACCTCCAATCTTAGGGTCAGAATGTTCTGGTTTGTTTTTTTATTTGTTTTGTTTTTTGGGATAGTTGTTCGTCTCTTCTTCTCCATAGACACTGCAAGTAGTTTCTTGAGGGTAGGACTTGCTTTCTTTTATTGTCCTCAGTGCTTGGCTCCAAGCCAGGGCACACCATAAGTCCTCAAAGAACAGCTGATGAAGGGCAGGCACATACATATCTTGGCTCCAAGATAAAATAAAAGAGGTCATTATTCTTTTGAATATGGCAACTGCTTCCTTTCAAACTCTACTGAGGGCAGAAGTAGACTGCTAAGTACACACTACAATAAGAAGGACATGGGTTAGACCATAAGAAAAAAAAGTAGACTCTTTGAATTTTCAGAGCCAATTGAGGCTTGAGGTCCTCTCTCCACCCCCTTCATTTTCATGGGGAAGGAAAGGGAAGGTGGAAGGAGAGCTAAGTGATTATTTCAAGGTCATCCAGAGAGCCAGGGGCCCAGCTGGATGTGGAGTCCAGCTCTCCTGCCTCCCAGTTCAGAGCGCTTCCTGCCACCCTGAATTGCCTTCCAGGCTTCATCACTGTCATGGTGGCGTCAGACTATCCTTTCAGGACGTCATTAAGATGGGAGAGGCAAGGGAGTTGGAAGTGTTGTGAAGCTGAGGGCAAGTCTCTGGGACCTTTTGAAACCAGCCTCACATTGCAAACAGAATCTGTCTCGACTGTGGAGTCTGAAAGAGCATTTTAAATAAGCTGGGGTGGGAGTGGAAAGGGATGCACAGGCACTGTCCTTTTTGGCAATTTTTCCCTGCAAGCTGCCTGGTGTCTGTTGTTGCTGCCTAGTGACTAGGGAGCCACCCTGCACAGGGACCAGGGGAGGGCAGAAATGGCAACTGAAGGTCCTCCTTATCATGTTCCTCCTGTAGCTAGTAGAAATCCTGCTTAGCTTCATTTCAAAGGACAGACCTACGTATTCTTCTCTACAGAAAGGCACTCATCAGGGCTGAGGAACAGCTGGTGAGGTTCCTTTTGCGTCTCTTTCTCCAGGTTGTGAAAATTGCTAGAGCTGTGCACGTGTGGTTGGCAAACAAGTGGGAATAGTTGTACATTTTGCTCTACATTTCTCGCTCATTCAGAAATGCTCATCTTCTCCCCAAGGAGCCCAAATTCATCTTCTGCTGAATGTCGTCTTAAAAGTAAAGCTGGTCTTAGGCAGGCAACTACCTTTGTTGGGGAGGGTGGGTCCTGAGGGACATTTGTGCCAAATAATCTTGCTGTGCTGGCTTGCCATTGTGGCCAATGCTTCGTTATTCCTTTGCAGCAAGCACAGCTGTCCTCTCCCTATCCCTTAGGAAATACAGCTTCTCTATCAGGAGGCATCAGAACAAAAATACAGTGCTATTCCTTGGCAGTTTGAGAATCATAGCCTGGGCTTGAGGTGCTTTAGAGATCTACAGGAGCCCCAAGAGCAATAAAGCTGAGGGCAAGTCCCCAAAACCTAAACCAGGCATGTTAAATATACACCCACATGTACCACTGTCTCATCCTGCTTCCACAGCAGACGTATCACTAATTGAATATTTATGCTTCTCTCTGTTGTATCTTATCTGGATTCAGCCTCAGAATCGTTTGCATAGCCAATTGATTGGAGGGGGCATGGTCATTTTCCATCCCTGCCCTTTAACTATTCTTAAGTTCAAACAGAATTGATGAACAAAATGCTGGGAAGCAAGAAGGTAGTATCAGAAGTACTGAGAAACATTTTTAGGGTCCACATATACCAGGCTCTCATAAAATGTGTGCAGAGAGCAAAGGAAGACATCCAGAAAATCAGGGCAAGAGGGGAGTGTTTCCAGGAGACTATTAACATGGTTCCGTTTCATCCGTGTGTATTTCAAGTCCCTTTTCTATACACAGAAAATCACCAGCTCTCCTTTTTCAGCAAAATTGCTAAGCAGAAAATATAGCTTTTACACTACAAGAAATGACTGTTCCATATGATGATGATGATTTTTTTTTTTTTATGTGAGCTTCAATGTATGCTAAGAGCCACCAACACCAACAACGCAGTGGTTGTTTTGATCTTCAGGCATTTTCTTCCTTTTCTTTAGAATAGCTGTGTTTTATTGGAATTTGATATTGAAATCCCCCAGGCTCCCATTAGATGCGGCAACCATTGGTGGCCTTACCTGCTGCAGAGCTCTCTGGATGTCGATGCCCTGGCCCCAGGGAACAGCTGGGTTAGCCAGACAATCCCCGGCATTCCCCCGGCGAGATATATCAATTCTCTGCCTCCGCAGGCTCTGGAAAGCCTCAGCCATCACCTTCACCCCATCATAGGTAAGCGCAGAGGTGTACTAGTGGGAGGAATGGAGATAGTTAGATATCAAAGAGAGCTGACAGGAAGGCAGGGTCGGGTGCTGTATTTGGGAATGTGTTTTCTGGTGATGGGAAATGTGCAGTGGGCCAGGTGCATGACATATGCAGGGAGACAGTGGTGGATCAGGGATGGTGTCCCTGTCCCTGCAGATGGGTGCAGCTGCTCGACTATGCTAGTCAATGCTGACCTCCTGAACTGTGAGTTCAGTATTGCCGGTTATGACTTTTGCAGAAAAGCCAGGATTCTAGATTTCTGTGTGTAATCTTGTAATTTTTAAAATGTTGGTTCAGTTGGAAAAACAATGCATAGATTACATATAACACATCTGCAGCCTGGATACAGTTCATGAAAAATCAGTTGGTTTATCTTGGCATTACAGTCATCAGCTGGAAGCCAAGAGGAACAATTAACTCTTTCATCTCTTGTAAAAGTAAAAGGAAAAAGAAAATGCAAGAAGGGTGAGCTCTTAACTTTTCCACATGTGGCTCACCTAAGTGGTAAGTTTATATTCTGTAAACTTTCCCCTCGTTCTTACTCGCAACAGCTATCAATTATACCTTCTCCTGACAAAAAGGGGACTAGGATGTGGATGGAAAAAAAATCAGCAGAGTGGTCCAGGAAAATATATCCTGGCTTTGGAACCTATGTCTGTTTTCTTCACTAATTTGTTCCTAACACTTACTATATTGCCTAGTACACTCCAAGTTCACAATAGAGAATGGAAGAATGAGTGAATGCATATTTTTCTATTTTTTAAATTTAATTATCTCACTTCTTTTTTAAAAAATTAAATTACATTTGGTTATTTCTGTCATCTGTTCTGTCTTTTGGAAATTGGAGTGCAGTCATCACACATAATTAATTAACTCCTATGTAGTTTTCTCATTGCTTTAAAGCATATTCACGATTTTATTTGCTTAAGATCATACTGACATAAGTCTTCATTACTGAAGAGTTAAATCAGTTTGAACAATAGTGGGATAAGAAATATCTCCGTTATATGGTTTGCCATTTATGAAAAGAAATTGAGTGACAAGAGAAAGTCTGTCAAAGATTCACTGTTTTTGCGGTTAAACAAACTTGGCCTCAGCATCCTTCTTAACACAGTGTTGCACATGGCTACTGTCAAGCTATTTGGTTTGACTTGGGGAAAAAAATTATTTGCTATCCTTATTCCCAACATTTCTCAAATAGCAAACCAAATAGATTTTGGTGGCAGTATGTAGAGCTGCGTTGCTGGGAAGTGAGAAGCAGAGAGTCTGCATTATTATTGAGAGTGGACTCTCCCAGGTAGAGATCTGCTGGATATTCCTTAGTTAGGTTGCCCTGATTTTTAGCTGGGCACACGGCTGAGCAGAATAAGCGCCACCTCACTACACAAAGAAGCTCCATCTACAAAGAAATGAGCAGCCCCCTGAGCTGGGCAACACGGTGGCTCTGCCCAGAATAGAACCACCATTTTCCAGCTTCCCTTGTGGCCAACTGGGGGTAGTTTTCCAAGATACGATCAATGGCATATGAGTGGAAGATCTGCATGTAATTTCTGAAAAAAGTTCTTCATGAAGAAGTTGTGCATTGCATGATTTTTTTTCTTCTTCCTACTGGGTAGAATGCTGAGGCAATGGCTATGGTTTAAGCAGCCCTCTTGTCTCAGGCAACAGCCGTAGGTGGAGGACAGCAGAACAGAAGGTAAAAGAAGCCTGGGTATTTGATGACTGTGGAGCCATTTAACAAGCCCAGGACTGCTGACTCCTAAGTTTTGTTTACATGAGAGATAAATAAAATGTCTCCCTCATTAAAACCATTGTCATTTTGGGTTGTCTGACCCCTGCACCTTATACCTAATAATCTTTACAAATATATTTCCCTGAATTTGTTCCCTTTAGAAAACCGATTCCTTTCTAAAGACTAATGCAGCTCAGAAATCTGGGGCAGGCAAGGGGAACAGGCTGGCCCTTTGCTGCTGGCCGCCCATCCACTCACTTTGGGTCTCTTCCAGTCCACCCGAGTGTGGTCTCGAGCATCACTATTCTTCCACTGCTGCATGATCTTGGCTGGGATGGTGTCTGTGTAGTTCACCAGCTGGAAACCTGTCACGTTGGCGCCACTCTCCTTGAATTTGTTTAAGTCAATGTCCATGAAGCCCTGTGAGAGGGGGAGGAGGGAGAAGTCAGAACATGCTGCCTGGATAAATCAACTTAACCTGTTCCAGAACCACAGAATTTTCCATTCTGTTCCACCAGGTGAAACCTACTCAATGGAGAGACAGTTAGGTCTCCTTTCCTTTGAACTTGGCTATTACTTAGTTTGTGCACAAAATTAGCATAGCTCAGGAGCCAGTATGCCTCGTTTGGAGTGCTGGCTCTGCTATGCATAAGCCAGTAGTTATACCACTATTAACTAAGTTACTTGACAGTTTTCTTGTCTGAATAATGGAGGTCCAGATGTTGGGGTAAACATGCAATGTAATGACACATGTCAAGTGCATGGTGCGGACCAAGTGATCAATAAATAGTGGCTGGGATTATTATGATGATACAGATATATAGCACAAGGTAGAAACCTCTAAGGAGGGAATAATCTCATCTACCATCCCAATACCCAATCATTTTGAGAGAAGAGAAATCTGAATTTCACTGGGGCAAGCTTCTATGAGTTACCCCAGGACACGAGCAAGTCTGTGGAAGAGGCCGAGTTCTGATCCCAGCCTTCATCCTCACCCTGTGCTCTTTTCCATAAAACAGAGTAAATTTTCACCAATCCATGAGACCTGATCAATTCCAGCACCCATGAAGGATTGTTTATTATAATGAAACTTTCCACCCCATTTTTACTCAAACTCAACTAGGCTTCAACCTTAAAAGGAAATCTTACATTTGTTTAATATATTTAATAATATGCAGTACTTTCATATCTATGACCTCATTTCAGTTTATCTCTTTTTAAGGTAAACATTATATGTCTATTTGCCAGATGAAGAAACTAAGGCAGAGTGGAAGAATCAACTTGCACAGAGTCATTTAGGGAGTTAGTAACAGAGAGAGCACCAGAACTAAGGGCCTCTGTTAGGCAATGGTTCACTCAATCATTTACTCACTTATTCACTGATTAATCATTTCAACAAACATTTTTGAAAAGTCAGTGCACTATTCTAATAGTGAACAAAGCAAGTTCCTTTCCTCATGGAGTTTATATTCTAGTGGGGAAGATAGACAATAAATGAACAAGTAAATACGCAGCATAGTATAGTATAATCTGGGATAGTATACTCTGTGGTAGCAATGAGTCCCATGAAGAAGGATGAAGAGAGGTAAGAGGATGGGAAGGGGCAATGTTATGCTTTGGAAGGAATGATGAGGATGAGCCTCCCTGAGGAGGTGGTCTTGGCTTAGGGACCTGAGTGAAGTGATGCCTGTGTCTGAGCTATGGGGATATTTGGAGAAGAGCATTCTGAGCAAAGGCCCAGAGATGAGAGGATGACTGGCACATTCAAGAAACAGTAAGGAGGCTGGTATGACTGTGACACAGTGAGTTTGAAGAGAAAGGGTGGAAAGGAGATCAAAGTGACAGCCCAAAGCTGGTCACATAGAGCCTTGTGTTAACTTGGGTTTCTTTTTAGGTATAATTGAGGGACTGTCCAGCAGGAAGAAAAAAATGGAATGCACAGCTTCTTCATGAAGAACTTTTTTCATAAGTCACATGCAGATCTTTCACTCATATGCCATTGATTGTATCTTGGAAAACTGCCCAAAGAATTTGAGTGGGATCATAAAGGCAATTCCCTTTCAGCTCCATGGCTTCCGGGAAACCCCCAAATTCCAATGAGTGAAATGCGAAAATCAGCAGGGGATCCATGGTCCATGGGAAAGTTCGGAACTGGGAGCCAAGAAATTACAGCAGTGGACCCAGCTCCCTCTTGGGATCCTAGGACACTGTCCATGTTTCTGAATTTCTCATTGGCTTTCTCTAATTTTTCTATCTGAAAGAATAGACTTCATGATTCAAAAACAACCCTCCCCCACCCCATGCCTCTAAAGTTCTGTGATTTTTTATTGTTTCTATTTTTGTAAACAAAGCAAGCTTAGTCGCACTCAGAGCCTTTGTCCTTGCTATTCTGTCTGCCTGGAAATGTGATTTCCCTGTCTGGCTGCTTTCCATCATTTGGATCTCGGCTAGACTGCTATCTCTCAGAGAGGTCTTTCCCTACTTCTTGTCTAAAGAACCAGTTCTTGCCCTGTTGTAGACAATGTCAGCATCCTGTTCGCTGGATATTCTACTTTATAAACTAACTGCAAACACCTGGTTATTCTGCCTACCTGCAGGGTAAGCTAGACATGTTGAGGAGTTAATATGCCCAGAAGCAGCTTCCAATCAATGACAGAAAAAGAGTTAGTAGATAACGGCCCCAGAATCCTCTCCTCTGGGCGTCATGACCCTGAGGTGGGTTCTACACTGACATCTCGGGATTCCCTCGGGGACTGTGCTCCTTCAGTAGCCTGCAGCGTAGGCATCTTGTTGATGAAACTTTGTAGGTGGGCTTCCCTTCTCCACGTCCCTTCCCTGCTTTCCCACTGGTGTTTTTAGGCTTGGCAACCAAGAAGCCCATTGTACTTGAATCCTTGTCTCAGGGAACTGCTTCCGGAAGAACATAGTAGAGTTACCCCCAGCACCCTATCCAGTCTGCTCTTCTGCTCTTTCTCAGTGCCCTGTTAGAGTTTCTCCAGAGTTTTTATCACCATTTAAGATTATCTTGTTTACTCATGTGTTCCCATATCCGCTTTCCTCCTATTGAAATGTCAGTTTCATGAGAGCAGGAACCTTTTTGTCTTGGTCACTGATGTATCCTAGAACCTGCTCATAGAACAATGCTTGGCACAGAGTAGGTGCACAGTATATATTTGTTGAGTGAATAAATAAAAGCCAGAGACTTTCCTCAAGCAAGAAAGCCAGTTATCCAGGAGAAATACGACCAGCAGGCACCAAATACCAGTGGGTGATTTTAATTGGTTGAAAAGAGAAATTCAGGTTGAAAATACCTTTTGAGTTTAACATGTTCCACAGCCACAGTTTACAGAGTTTCACAGATGTAACTGATTTGCACAATGGTTCTAGCAAGCTGTTAGTAAAGGTGGAATCAGAACTAGGTTCCTGTACCCAATATGCATTCCAAGATGTTACACCATTTAAAAGTGCACTCATCCCAGCACTGGTTAAAAGCTAGAGCACAGCTGAGAGATTTCTCATAGTTCTTAGAGACTTTAAAAAGAATATGTTCATAAAGTAACTTCGGGGAGATTGAAATAGAAAGTATCTCCTGCAGTCAAATTCTGTCTCTTGAAAATCTGTAACAAGGTCCTGGGCATTTCATACTGACTACTTCCATCTCAGACATAATGGAGGCGAAAGAAAATGGTAGAGTTTTCTCAACTGCTCAACATAAATGCCACTCAATCTTATCACCAGAATGTCATAAACAGGGTTAATGCAGCCACACCTTAGTTACTTATGATCAAACTAATAAGACTCTCCAACAGAACTCCCCTCCCCGCCCATGAAAAAATGGACAAAGAATAATACAAGAAGCTCATAGCTATGATGTTAAGTAAAAGAAACAAAATTAGGAAATAACTTGGGGTCATGAACTATATCCTCATCTAATAGCTGACATCTTCCCTCCTATGTAAGATTTCATGCTGGGAATAATAATCTTGCATCTCTACAATGTTTTTAATCACTAATAAATGACTCTATTATAGTCACTAGACTAAATTTCTCCATAATTCAAGAAAATGAATTCTGGCAATGTACAAATGTGTTCTTGACTAAGAAGGGGAAATAAAGGTGTTAACTCTTTGCCCACTGGTTTATGGGAATATTCAATTCACTTATTCTGTTCCCCTGGGAACTCTCATTAAATAGGGTTTAATTAAATAATTTTCTAATTTTCTTTGCCATATTATTAAAAAACCTTAGAGGGTAATATTTGGTAATTAGCACATTTTTCTTTATCTGCTTTATTTGTGCTATTAATTATATAGTACTATATAAAAATACTACATTGCTAATTATATTCTATTAAAAATTTTAACTATGAAGTTTGATTACTACTCTCTTTGAGCCATTTTGCCTATTTTACAACATGTTCCCAAATGCTAGGACCATTGCTCTATATACTGTGACTATTGACAAAAAAAATGAAATAAATCTACAGAGTACTTGTTTTTTCAGGTTAGTCAGTGTTTTTCCAGCTATTCAGCACAAGAATGCAGATCTAAACCCACTCTCCTTCCAGTGACCTCCCAGCACTGGCACCAGATACCTGTCTTTGAGTGACTGTTTCTCACCTAAAGTGAAGCTTGGTGATCAGTGAGCTCCTAGGGCTATCAGGTCACTGTGTTCTTGTCTGCTTCTTCTGCACCTCTGTAGCACTTTACACTGTCCCATGTCTGACTAATAAAAAATTGGTGAGAAAGGATGCCGTGTTTACTGTCATTATTAAATGCAAATAAATTGGCTGATAAACTGTAAGCTCTCAGGAAGTGGTTCTGAGGGACGTATCAGAATATCTTGAGGCACTTTTGCAAAATAGCCATCCCCAAGAATTATCATTCGGTATCCCTAAAGAGGAAACTGGATATCTGTATTTTGACAAAGCTCTAATGCTGTTGAATCAAAAATCAAGTTCACTATATTAAAAATATAAGGTAATCATCAGAAGAATTCCAAATAATAGCATAACTAACATACATTGAGAAGGGGATGCTGGGGGTGTATTATGAGCTGATTTGTCATCTTTCTAATGGGAAGTCAGATATGGAGTTAAAGTTGATAAAGCAAGGAAAAGAAACATAAATATATTATGTAGAAGTGTAAGGGAAACCATTAAATAACCAAATGTAGGAAAAGGTTTTAAAAGGTACTTCTATGAAGTATAGAATTGGAAAGAATGGGCATTTATCTTTTATTTTATACCCTTCTGTAATATCTGTTTTATCATGTGAATATATTATATTTTTAATACTATTAAAAAATAAAAATAGATCCTCAGATAGCTCTAATGTATCTTAGATATCATCCATTAGACACTGTAAAGTAGGGGAGGAAGTAGCAGTGGCAGGACAGGGTAGAGAAGTTGTTGCATTTAT